AACAAGAGTAGATTACTCTTGTACTCTAAATAATACTTGTTTGTACAGCACTCAACAGCTGTAATGTAAAAATAGACAATACAGTGTAGGCTATTTGATTTAATAAGAATCTTAATTAGCTTTAATAAAATGAATTCCTTCATAAATGTTAATAAAGTAATACTATATAATAATTGATTGCTAGTGATATGATTTATTATCGATCTAAATTCTTTTACTTGGCTACAGCACATTTACTATGCTTAAAAATCCCACTTAAAACCAATATAAACATAGGATGATACAGCCAGTGTAGCACAACGATTGACAGCAGCGCCTCTTGCGGCAACCTCCAATATAGGGACAGAAAATAAGCTCGATTTCGACACTATATTTTCTAGCCACTGTACTCTACCCGAAAGCGCGCGATCAAATGTACAACAAAATGGCAGCACGCGCGGCCTAAAAGTGCGCGCGGCTAACGCCCGCATTAACGCGCGTTCTAACCAAAATCTATCACACGCGCGTTTGACGCACGCTTGGCCAGAAGCGTGCGTTTGAGTGTGTATATCTATGCGGAACTCTTGGTTCTTTAAAACGCGCGTTACCAAAGCGCGCGTTTCAAAACGTTTAATGTGTACACAGCCTAAACCATGGTCACAGCCACTCCATGTAGTATATTTTAGCTCGTTGAGTGAACTCACCTGGATGTGTCAGTAATTTAAAATTTGTTCAGAATATCTCATATCATCTTCATATAGTATTATTCAAAATCTTTAATTGATTTTATAAATGTGAGGCTCTGGACAGGTCCAAACCCTCACTAAAATTCGCGGAAAATAATTGTTTTAGAGAAAAAATATTTAGTAGTTAGAAATAGATTTTTATTATATGAAAACGCGACGCTAACTTTAAAACAATAGAAGAATGTAAGTCCGTCGACCATTTCCGGATTGGAGATCGAATTAAACTTCGATTTTGACCTCTCCCGCGCCCCGAAAGGTTTCGAATTGTCATCAGGTGACGACGGGAGACCAATCGGAAAGGGGAATCTAAGAGAAAACAGATAAAACCCCGGAAATTCGAGGACGCGACGGCTTCTTCTCCCGAAAGTTCCAAGTGACGGATCTGTTGTTGTGTGTGTGTGTCTCGCACCCATCTTCGTCTCCATCTCCCGACCTCGGATCGACATCGTTCCATCAACGGAAGTCGACCGCATCGTCCCGGAGTCATCGAGACGTGATGGAATTGTTCATTCTCGAACAAGGGACACTCCTTCAAAATGGGACTATCGTGGAACCACAGGAGAAGAAGACCCAGCGACCGCAGCCGACGTAGAACTTCCAAGATCGCAGTAATCTTGTAAGCTTCTTTCGTGTTTAATAAACGGTTGTGTTGTTTGTAAACGAAGCATCTATCTCTGACTCAACTGCTTCCACATGTCGTTGATTGTTACCGCTCGGCAATCCAAACGGCAAGGGAGACGATGACGATACATATCACATATTATCGTTCGCCGAGTTTTTTTTTATTTCTCCCCCCTCGGCCCCCACATAAATAAATAGATTTTCCCAATAAAAATATAGTTTTCAAATTAAGAAATAACGATTCATGCAAAAATGTCAAGTAATCACATTTAATAGGATAATTGTCAACATTTATAATTGTAAAATAAATTATAAAAGAGTAAATCATTCTTTCGTAGAGTGATGTATGTGCTGTTGTGGAGCCCTAATATTTTAAGAGTTTTGTATAATATGTATGTGGTATGATACCTGACATTTCTGGGTCATGCTTGAATATTAGGGTCAAATTTGATGTCAGATATTGTCGAATAAATGTAAAAATGTTTATGTTACTTGTTACAATAGCAATTGTAGTTGCAAACAGACGAATAGTGAACAGTAAACATATATGTACTGTACAGTATGCATATTTGGAATTAACATGTATACATAACTCACGCACACAATATAGTGGTACAGTATGTAGCACGGAATCCGATTTTATTACTTCAATTATTATGATAACATTTATTTGTATTTAAAAATAATAACATAAATATTCTCTATTATTAAAGGTTTATTTTAACAAATATATTTTTAATTTTTTCTGTACTAAAGCCAGGTCCCTTCGAATTACGGGCCGTAGACATTTGTCTTATTTGACTATTGGTTAATCCGTACTGGATGGTAGGGTCGTTTGGATCGGATAAAAAAAATTTAAAAATGATGTCCTCCAGAGCCGTAACTAGGCAGGTGCAACAGGTGTATTCGCACAGGGCCCACTTGGAAGGGGGCCCAAACTGCTGTTCACAAGAAATTATAGTTTTAAATCTTGAATTTTTCCTCCTTTTTATTGGCGATTACATTTTGCCTTATTTAGACCCTAGATGTCTGCTCACCAGTGTTCCCAACCGTGGCGACTTTTAGAGGGACGTAGTGAGATAGCGGAGACAGCAGACAAATCAGCCAAAAGTACCGACTTTTGAAATTTTGTTTATTTATTTTTTGAGAAATTTAAATTTATGTTTATAGTTTTCAAATTTATAGATATTTCTCTACTTTATAGAGCTCTCTGGCGACGACTAATATTATTACGATATATAAAACTGTATTTCTAGATTTTTCTACAGTGTGCAGAGCTAGAAATCTGTAAAGATAACATTTTGTAATAAAAATAAATCTGCCCGGGGATTTTTTTAATTGCTAAATAGATAACGTGGTAACTCTCGAATAAAATCTTAGTCTCGAGGTTGTAAAAGGCGTGCAGAAATTCTGACATAACTTTTTGCTTTATATTAGTACCCATATGTGTTGTATACCTCAACGGCGGTAAGCGAACTATGCGGCCTCGAAGGGGCCCCCGAGGTCTTTAATATGATACTGGAAAAAGGCTAATTTTTGCTTTCTCTATGGCTCTTCTTTATAATACATGAGTGTTGCTGATTTAAAAAAAATCAGCTGCAGATCTCGCTGTTAAATATAGCAAAGATTTAAAAAAGTACGAATTCACAAGTGAAATTGAAAGTTTTAAGTTTGAAGTAACGACTCTTATACAAAATATAGAAACTGCGTTTTCGCTTAATATTCTACAGGCTCTTCGTGATTTTGGTTTAGTTGAGTCTTACCCAAATATCAATGTCGTTCTTCGAATATTTCTAACTCTTCCCGTTTCTATTGCTTCGTGCGAGAGAAGTTTTAGCAAGTTAAAATTAATAAAAAATTTATTAAGATTAAATATCGGGCAAGAACGATTGTCCAATATTTCTATTATTTCAATAGAATACATTATCATTAAAAATACTAATTATGATCATGTAATTAATGAATTTGCTGAAATGAAAGCCAGAAAAGTTCAATTAAAATAAATCTTATTAAAAGTCTATTGTAATATATTTGTTTTATTATTTTCCCAAACCAAATAAATTAAGGGGCCTAAATTCAAATTCTTGCACAGGGCACAGGAATGGCTAGTTACGGCTCTGATGTCCTCCATGATTAAAGTAAAGCTTACAGTTGACAGCAAAGAAATATGTTTAACTATCGACAGTGAAAAGTTTTTATTACAATTTATTTTCTTTATAAACAAAAGCTTAACCGAACCAATCTCTAGCCGAGTACAGTGGGGACTGAATTTTTCGTAATATTAGATGTAATAACGACATTTTTCCAGTTCAATGAGAGTGACTGAAAAGTAAATTTTGGAAATTTTCGTGAACACCCTGGTCCTAAAACGAATTAGTTAGAAAACAAATGATTGACAATCTATTAAGTTTAACATATTTAGATTTTTACAGCTATGGTGAGAAACGTTTAAAATTTGCAACAACCCTGTCGCGTCCTTTGAGGTACACTAGTGATGCAACAAAAGAGGCATTTGACATTGACCGGTATCGGCACCCTCGGGATTTGGCAGCTTGCGTGCATGCACGCACTGCACACCTCCCAGGACCGTCTCTGATTCCATCCATTAGCCACTCATATGGAGCTATTTGACTAAGTGGATTTTCTTAAGATTTAAAAAGTAAATAATATTTTATGTTATTTTTATGTACGTTTCTTTACAAAGCTATATTTAATTATAATTTTCTTTAAAAGTATATTCATACAATTGAGGAATATTTTGTACCAGGTATGTATATCCACCACACATTTTATTTTACCAAGTAAGTTTTTAGACAGAATTAGATAACCTAAATAGGGTATAACAATTTGCAGGGCTTATCACACCAAGGCCGACTGAAAGAAGGACCAGAACTTTTATTTAAAAAAAAGGGTTGGTCTTTAATAATCACATATCAAATTTAGGTAAGTATGCATTTCGGGTACAAGGACCCCTCATCAGCTTACAAACACGTGGTAACAACGTAACAAATACAATACCAATAACCTGCCAATACAACGGGATAACCAATATATGCAGTGCACTGCATTTACAATTTCTCAATGTAACCCATACACTAAAACTAAAATATCAAGTATAAATTAGAATACAATTGTATTCTAATTATTTTAGTTTAAATTTTAGTTTAATTTAGTATAAATTAAAGTAAAATAAAAGTATTTATTATATTACATAGATATTAAATGTCTGTATTTTATTATTTATTTATTTATTTATTTAAAATGAATAAATAAAATATATTCGAAACAAAACTTAGAATTTGCCTTAATATTCCCAGAATACTTAAAATATACTGATGATGTCTATAATCTTCTAGAATAAGGCCACATTATTCTACACATTGATGACGTCATTCTTAATTTGAAACTTCTGTACATTTTTCATTTCAATATTTTCTATAATTGTCATTAAACCATCATATTTTTCTAATGCATTAAGTATTTCAGAGAAACTTCTTTATTTTCTATACTTCCATACAACTCTCCTAACTGTAAATGTGTATTTGTGACAGCTGCTAGCGTCCGGATGAAGCAATAATTCTGAACTAAATAAACACTCTTCCAAGAACAGCTGACTTGCCTCCTGACTTCTCTTGAAAAAAGATCAGAAGTAATTTAATACGATCTTCAAGTTGCGACAGTCGGACAGCGGATTGGATATGTGGAATCATGTGACAAAGGCTGTATTTTAACAGAATCAGCAACTATCTTAAAGATGTCGCACTTGATTTTCGTTTTGTGCATATTATCATTAAGATTTTATGCCTTATCTTTGAATACAAAAAGTCACACTTTGGAAGATATATATGAATTATTATCAAGAGTAGATGAAAAGATAAAGACAGAAGACAGGGTTCGAGAATTGACTCAAACTCTTCAGATTGATCGAACGCTAAAGAAAATGGAAGAACATCTAGAAGACATTGCAGAAAAATTAGAATTAGGCAACGATCTGGATCGTCACCTTCCAACTGATGTTCGCACAAATTTAGTAAGCATTGGAGATAAAATGGTAAATATGGAGACAGCGGTCGAATCTTTACAAGATATTATGAAGAAAATGAATGAAGATATGCAAGTTTTGAGCGAAGTAGAGCAGAGAACAGAGAGTTTAAAAGAAGAATTGAATCGAAAACTTACAAAAATGATGAATGTTTTATCTGCCTTATATCAGATGAATAAAGACTTGAGAAATAATTTAGGAAATTCGAAGAAAGTGGAAGACGATGTAACAGATGTTGATTTAGCAAGTTCTGCTTATCTGATAGATTCGCTAGAAAGTTTAGAAAGAAAAATCAAAGAACAAATGAATGTGCTTTCCGTTCAAATGAAGACAGAATTGACTTCTTTAAAGTCTGTTATGTCTAGTATTGTTTATCAATGTGAAAACGAGGAAGAGACTGATGATTCCTCTCAAGCCGAGTATAGTAAGAAAAGTCATGATTCTAATCCTATAAATAAGGAAGCTTTAGAAAACTTACAAAATAGTTTAAATCGTTCACAGCGAGAACTTAAAGAAGAAATACAAACAGGTTTACAGCATATAGAAAGTAAAATTACAGATATGACAAATAAGAATCGTTGTACAGCTCAAGAGCGAGATAAAATTAAAAAGAAAGAAACAAAATTCGAACCTTGTGTTTCAGCCCCAGCTCCAACTGCAAAAAATTGTGCCGATTTTCTAAAAGCGGGGAATACGTGCGATGGGAAATATGCTATCATGTTTAATTCAACTAAAGCTATCATGGTTTATTGCGATATGACAACAGACGGTGGTGGTTGGACTGTAAGTAACATATTAAAACTATATTATGATTTTATCTATATTAAATTATTTGAATCATTATTTTAGAAGATTAAATTTCAAATTTAAATGAAAAATTAGAATATCTATAATCTAAAATAAATATAGAAACATAATTTTTTAATTTATTTAATTGGGGAAAAACACCATGATTATAATTAGAAACCTTTTCTTAGAATTAATCAATCATTAGAAGTGATTTGATTAATTTGGAAATTATTGATAAAAATTGAAGATAAATTAAACGTCTAATATTCAAATAAAATAAAATAAATTGCAATAAACTTTTCTCTCGACTTTTACTGTTGTAAAATAAATTTTTAAAAATTTTAACAGAAATTTACTAACAATAAATTTTATAAAATCTTTATCTATTTCATTTTTTAAATGTTTTAAGTCAGGTGATTAATTAATATAATATAATTTGAATAAATATTATAACAAATCTTATAAAATAAAACAATTATTAATTAATTTAAAATTTTTAACAAAATATGTAAATTAATAAACGCTTGTTTGCATATCGACAATCAAAATTCTTGCAGTCTTTGTTTTGATTTATTTCCTTTACCTTCAAATAATTTTTTTTTCTTTTTCCAGTTTTATCAGTTATTTATAATGTTTCGAGCAAAAAAAATAACGGTATCAATTAATTTATTGTAGATAATCATTCAGTCAACAAAACTTTAAAATTTTTTTAATCCAATAAATAATATATAAAGCATAATTTGTAGATTCGTATAATTTGTAGTAAGTTAATTCGAATTGATGTAAATAAATTATAAAAGGATATACAGTATATTGTTTTTAAATAGGCCTTTAATATGGCAAATAATTTATTTTTGATTAAGTTAAACAGTAAATATAATTTTAAAAAATGTAAAATATGATTATTATGTATTTTTTCAGGTATTAATGAGACGAGGGGAATTTGGAAGAGATAAAGAAATAACGTTCAATCAAAATTGGAACAGTTACAAACACGGCTTTGGAGACTTCGATGGAGAATTTTGGCTGGGAAATGATAATATTCATTTACTTTCGAATGATGTGAGGAATGATTTGCTGATTGAATTGAATTCTTTCAACGGAAAATCGAAAAATTTCACTTTCAGATCATTTTATATCGAAAATGAGATTCATGACTATAGACTTCACATTGGACAACCCCTAAATAATTCACCAAAAGTTATGCATGAATTTAATAGTAGACCGTTTGTTAGCTACGACAGGATTATGGATCAACCTGGTAATAACTGTGCTGCATATTATAAGGGAGCTTGGTGGTACAGAAGATTCTGTCGTTATCCTGATTTAACCAGTGAAAGAATTGACCCTAGCGTTGATAGAGTTCCAATAAAAGGAATGCAGTCAGTACTTTGGAGAGAAGGGGGTTTATTGAAATCTGCTGAAATGAAAATTCGTCCAATAAATTTTCTCGTTTAAATTTAAACCGAAGCTTCCAAAGACTTTAAAACAAATTTTTAAAATCTTGTGAATTCTTATATTTTATTTCTTTTGAAAAAAACAGTATTTGTCTATAGTTGAATATATCTTTTTATTTATATAAAAAATAATCAAATTTATTACAAATTTGATTTAAATAGAATCTCGTTTTGGTTGAATTGTAATGGAATTTCTCAGTGTAAGAGATTTTTGTAATTCTATATAAAATATATAAATTTGTAATTTTTTTAAAATAAAATATAAATAATATAAAAATGTTATAATTAAATATACTGTATTTACAATGTTAAGCTGATTGATTTTTTTAAAGTATTGTATGATTTTTAAAATTGTTTTGGATAAAGAAAAAAATATGACATTTTAAAATATACACAATATAACGAATCTCATTATATAACCTGTGTATTGACTTATAGCTTTCCCCCCATTAAAAACAAGTAGAAACGTATTTTTAAAGAAATTAATTAATGCTGTTGTTGCTGTTTACTATTAGGCCTAAATAAACAATTCATAGCTAATAATTATTTATTTATTATTAATTAAATACATAAAATAATTATTCAGTAATCAGTAATTGGTTCATAATTAATAATGTAGTATTGAATTACTACTTCCACACTGAGAAGTCCATTCTGCAGTTTACATAGACACTGTCCTGCGATAATTTCGTATTGATAGCGATGCTGATACTATCGATAATTTAAAGAAGCATGCGATACTGAATATTTTGAGTAGTATCGTAAACTGCTCTAGTCCAATTATCCTAATTTTTTATTTTGACGATTATTAATTTTGGTTTTGACGGTATTTAGGCGAATTTAGAATATTTTTGTGACTTTTTGCCGTGCTTTTTGAAAATAAAATGCGAAGCAATTATATAAAATTTGTTTTATTTCGTTCATGTAATGATGCTAAATAGAAGTCCAATTTTAATTAAACTGTTGCGATTTTAATTAAAACTGAAATCGCCAGTTTAATTGATGGTAAAAATTCACCATCTAACGGTATAACTGGTGAAGTAGGTATAATCTGGAAATAGTCTGTATAACCTGATATCGATATCTGATCAGGTGCATCTATACTTTACTCTTGTTCCGAAAGATATCTGTGATTTGTACTTGATTGCCTCTTGTTCTCGTTTTAATTGTTAGAAGCAAGCATAAGATTACTTTAGAACGAATCACACAGGAACACATAACAAAGATAGATGTGTACAGTACTGTGCATTACAGGCTTTATTAATTCTGGAGGATATGCGTTCGGACTAAGTAAATACATGTCCCTCATCGGATCTCTTTATTTACATTAATCTGGTTATAAAAACATAACAGTATTTAAGTTATAGTTACAAATATACATAAAATTATAACGAACACAATATTAACTGGATGGCAGAAGTTACATTTGTCATAACACACGTGCCATAAATTTTGTAATGTTTTTATAACCAGATTGATGTAAAATAAAGAGGACCGATGACAGACATATAGTCTGAAATGCATATCCTCTAGAATTAATAAAGCGTGTAACATATTTATCTTCGTTGTGTGTTCCTGTGAGATTCGTTTTCTCAGCAATCTTATGCTTACTTCTAACAATACCTGTGATTGATACTGTTAGCTTCTTAGGCAATGATACATACACATTTTACGTTCACTTAATAAAAACCTTTTATTGTCACAACAAGAACGAAAGTACTACAGTCTACACTGTTTAAGGCTCTAAGCCAGGGGTGGCCAAAACGTGGCGCATTGGACGATTACAAGTGGCGCTTCAGTTAGTTCTGAGCAAAATTGCCAGATTTGGCTTTTTCCGATTAAGAATATTATATAGAAAAATAAATTTTTTATAGTCTGTCTTGGCAAGTTCATTTGTTGCACAATTCGTTACGGTATATTTTGCAGATAAAATGAGTATTCTCCACATAGTAAATTACAATGTATTCATGTATTTTGAGTCTTGCCATCTTTATTTCCGATCAGTTTACAGGCGTGTAAATGGCCGAAAACATTTATTGTGATTAAAGTTATTCCAAGCTGATCTCGTTCTCAGTGCCAATAATTGTGGTGCAGAGTAATCTTCACCAAACGAGACTCTGGCAGCAATAGCACC